GCAGGACCTCGAGAACCACTGGCGGAGGTGCGGCAGGAAGGATGCTGGAGGTGCAGTGAGCCGCGTTCACTGACCCGAGTTCCCGTTTCCCTGAATCTGGGGACATTCACGAAGCATATGCCCAGGTTTATGACAGTGAAAACAGGTATACGAAGCATTATCTCTATCGCGCGTCAAATTATCTTTTTCGCGAGACGAATTAGACGAAGTTGACTTAGCTCCATTGTTCTCCGAAGGCGTTGTTGCTGAGGAGGACTGGTTTGGACGAAGTCGGCATTCATTCGATCCATGGCGCATGTGCCTCTTGTGAAACTCGCACCATTGTCTGGGGGGCAAGTTGTGACGTGGACGGGAACCGGATTTCGACGTGGAACCGGATGTCGTCTGATCCCGGTGATTGAGTCGATAAGATTCCGCAATGTCAATCATGTCGTCCCATTTCAGCATGCGGTTTTTTAGCCACTTCTTTTGGATCTCGTCCTTTAAGCCTCCTTCGGAGATGCGAAGCAGTTGCTCCATCAGAATTTGCTGGATGAAAATTTCGCCAGCGTCCAGCTGGTCAGGAGAGAAGTGGAGGAAAGATTCGTATTGATCACGAAGGCGCTCGGCAAAGCTGAGGTAACTCTCGCCGCTGTCGGGTTTCATGCGCCAAAACGTAGCCAGTCGATCCAGATGAGGAGTCGGATGGCGACTGGCAATCGCCGCGACGAGCGGTTCGAAGTCCGTTATGCCACGTTTGTAGAGGCGGTGAGCCGTACCTTGGATCTGAGGCAAAGTATTGTCCATGAGACATCTGACGCGATGGCCGTCGTTGATATTGTCGATGTCCAACCGATTCCGGAGCCGCATGGCATAGTCTTCAAACTCTTCATCCGCGAGTTGTTTTGGCAGTTCAGGAATTTGCGGTTCGGCAAACCATCGTGGAGGTAAGGTGGGCAGGCGCACCGCACGGTCAAGCTCCGCTGACATCCCAGGACACAAGACAAGTTGTGCCGAGTGCGGGGATCCAGAAGCCTGACGTGGAAACGCAAGAAGAGCAGAAAAAGGTACCTGGAACCTGTCCAATTGTGCTGCATATTCGGCCTTGGTACTGACATCCCAGGACACGAGACAAGTTGTGCCGAGTGCGGGGATCCAGAAGCCTGACGTGGAAACGCAAGAAGAGCAGAAAAAGGTACCTGGAACCTGTCCAATTGTGCTGCATATTCGGCCTTGGTGATGATCGTCGGATGACCAAGGCGATACGTTTCGGCAAGGAATTGCAGCGTCTCCAAAGGCAGATTCTCCCAGGCGCTGGATCCGGACGAAGCCGACGACGATGATCCCGTAATCATGGATCGTGACGCCGGGGCCGGCACTGGGGTCGGAGGTCGCGCCGGGATGTTTTCCTCGGACGGTGGAGACAAATTTTGTTCCTGGTGCTCAGACATGTAGAATGCAGATTCAGCAGCCGCTCTAGAATTGCGAGTGTTACGGACCATAAATTTCGTCGCGTCGCCGTGAAGAGGTCTCTATTGGTGGCTCGAGCCCCCAGTAAGATTGAAGAGTAAAGTACTCCTTCTATTCACGAACACAGACGTATATTCATTGAAGTCAGGGCATAACACACAAGGATAAGTCAATAGGAGAGGGGAGTTGCTTGGTCAAAGGCTCAGACTGAAGTGGGGATTGTGGGGCTCCTTCCGTCGGCTTCTCCTCCAGTGGTTCTGATGATGGTGCAATGTTGCTCAAGGATTGGGGTGGGGACTTTGGACGTTTGCCCTTACGCCAGTACGGGCGTCTAGATGTCGCCCTCTTATTGGAAGGGGCACCCTTACTATCTCCTCCAGTGGTTCTGATGATGGTGCAATGTTGCTCAAGGATTGGGGTGGGGACTTTGGACGTTTGCCCTTACGCCAGTACGGGCATCTAGATGTCGCCCTCTTATTGGAAGGGGCACCCTTACTGCTTACACCACCACTACGAAGCCGCAAAACTTCCATCCATGGTCCCAGCATTGTCAGGTACTGCGCACAGCAGTCATAACATTGAATGGAATAGGTGTCGCTAACATCGCCCACACCATTTCCAGATCAATTCAGTTAGAGAACATCAGTGGACCCCAGTTCAGAGATCACCCAGTTCAGGGATTTTCAAGTTATTATGGACCATCTCTGTTTCCAAAAATCCATCCAGTTTACTCAGCAAAGAATTTGAGGATTCAAGAACCCATTCACAAATGGTCCCATTTAGAAAATGGTCTTACAAGAATCTTTAAACTAGATTACAGTACTGGGCATTCAACTAATGCCCCTAATAACCATTTTAAAAAATGCCCAAATGAATGCCCTTAAAAATTTTCAGTGCTGACATTGGAGTGAGCCATTCATCACCCCAGTAAACAAATGGGTCTCAAACTGTTTAAAAAATGTGCCTAAAATTAAAATTTCAATGTATCCAACTACAGTATCATATTTCAATTTTCCACATGTCATTCACCAACAGCACCCAGTATTTAGCATGAACAACTCTCAACTGTTGGCTACACAACTCTCAACACACAAAGAATGTATACACATGAAAATCTACTGCATCTCAGAGTGCATCTGATTTTGGAGTAAGCCAGCACAGCAGATCACTTGGAAAAATCTGATATTTTCTAAATGCTAGATGCAAAATTCAAGGGCATTACTTTTTTCAACCATAAAAGTTGACTAATATCTGAAACATTCATCCTGCTAAAAGCATAATGCCGACAGATCATTTAGAACCTCTCTACATATATTATGCCAACATTTTGGAAAAAATACAGTAATACACTGCCCACATTATTATACTATAAATTCTTATAATACAAAGAACCTCTTTGAGTCAAATTTGAAAGGACTGAAAGGAAATTTGAAGGGATTGAACAAAATTTGACTCAGTTTACACATTTTCAAGTTAGGGAATGGTCCACTTTTTACAGGGTAATCATCAATTAAAGTTATAGAAACATTAGAAGAGTTTATCATGTATATTAATACATGAAGTTGCCTAATTGACCATCCGAAGCATCGAAATACTGTACACCATATTTTTTTAGATTGGGTGTCCTAAAATTTTGCCCGTTGAATACCTCAAATGCAATTAAATTTTGATAATACAGTACTGTATAGCATAAGGGATAATATGTAAGCAAACAGTCCGAAGTTAGGAAAGTTTGAAGTACATGAGTCTTAAAGGGGATATTCCAAGGGATCCACAGGAGATTTCGCTTAAGGAGGATTTTGACTAAGAGAGGCTCGCCTGTATTTTCAAAGAGAACACACAGCAATAAAAATAAATAATTCGGAAATTCCGGGGTACTTTCTTTCATACGTTTATGGACATTTCGGACGTCAACAGAACGTAGTGAGGCATACAGCAGTGGAACATGCAGACAATGCCGATCTCTATAGAGCCAACGGAATGGCACACGGGCCAAACAACGCAGCAACAAAATTCCCCAACGAGATTGAATCCTTCTCCACCCCACTTCATCCCCCAGGGAAACAAAAGGTCGAACTATTTCCCTCTCACCACCTTTTTTTTGCGATACATTCGCGAAATCGAGAGGACAGAAAAAATATACGATCCTTGAGCCGGTTCGAACAAGAGACTAGGTTACACACGATCCAGGAAGTACAAGGTATACACCGAACCCCCCCGTTTTTCGCAGCTTTCCGCTACTCCCAATTGTTCCATCCACATGACACACCTTTCTTTCGATGCCTTTACGAAGAATAAACACTTTTCTTTCCTTTCCTTTAGAAACTACCAGTACAATAAATAGAACACGTTCTCTCAAGTAAAGGCGTGCGATAAGTTTCACAAACGCGCTCGAGACCGAAGTCTACGGTATCTTTCAGGATACATTTCAAGAGGGATTCTTGACCTCCTCCAGACCCGCAGGTAACAGCACTAAAAAAACCGCTTCATTCTCATATAGGAATGTAAGACACGCGTCGAGGGAGAAAAGGAAAAAAAAAACATCGGAAAGGTACCAAGGTACCACAGAGTGGCGCTGGTCCAGTGGAACCATCTACCATACCCGCGAATGGATAATCTATTTCAACACACCAAATTTCCCCTCTTTCTTTTTGAAAGGTTTGGCACTTTTCTCTTGCTGCAAATGATGAGATAATAATTTTGGGATTGCGACAGTAAAATGGTACGTCCAGTTATGACCTTCAAATCAGAAACGCATTTTCTCTCCACGATGCAAATCCATAAGCTCGAAATCCAAAACAACATGGACATATGCCAAAAATTACGAAACAGCGTACATAGCCTTGAAAAATCCTGTGTTGAGAGACGAACTAGACACAGAAAACTAAATGTTTCCAGAAAAATTATTTGAATTTAAATTTAGGCTGTTATCATGAGTCGAGTACCAATGTATTTTACGCTGGGATATTTCCTGAATTCGTTTCAGGGGACACAGAAATTAGAAGCAGTTTCACTCCGATAATTGAACCACAAAATCAAGGATAATCTAGCTCTTTTTCATCGAAATCCAAAAATTCCATAGAAAACCGAAGATCCGGGGTTTCAACGGAAATCTTGACGTCGTACTTCTGGAACAGAAAATCTCAATTTTCGAAATTCGAATGTATCAGCAGTTGCGTGGATGCCGTTCAGGAATTTCGACGCAGTGCATTAAAAAATACAATGCACTTGGTAGATGACACACTAGATCAGCACCACCACCATCATCAGTGCTGGTCTTGAAAAAAAAAAAATCGGAACAAAAACACAAGTGTCGAGTCCAAAATCCACATTCAAAATATTGACCATCCAAAGAGTCTGCAGAAAACTCGCTAGAACAAAATCCTCCGACAACCGTGCGAAATTTAAAAATGTAATCCACACAGAAACGGACGCAAAAAAAAGAAGAATCGACAACCACGAAAAAAATGTCGGCACATTCTTGCCGAATTTTGGGTTCCGTTTAAAACTAAACTTTTAGTGAGACCAAACAAAAAAAAAAATCATTACGAAGTCGCTCCTGAGTCAAGACATCACGTGAACTTCTGAAACGCTCTTTAACATCCAAAAAAAAAATCGAGAGGATACAGAATCGAACGCCACATACAGCTCCTCGAAAAGAAAACTAATGAAAAAAAAACCGGAGCAAAAATCACTTCCGCTTAAATTTCAATCATTGGTAAGTTGACTAATTGGTCCGTAGGTCCGAACGTTAAGTAGGATTGCTTGGATGGAACAAAAAGCCTCTTTAAACAAAAACAAAAAAAGACCAGAAGTTCGCCGCGGGAACAAGAATTCAACCGCTTCCCTCACTAATTAGTAGTAGCTCGGACGGCTCAGACGGAGACGCAGGATTGATTCTTTTTCTTTCCGTAGTCAGTGCGTGTCGTTGTTTGTTCGTCAAATCTCAACACGATTGGCTTTTTTTTCACTCATATCTTCCGGTCCGGCAGCAAACGCTCCGGAAGTTTGACGAGGCTCGGCCAGGCCCCCTTCTTCTGTTGTCATAAAAGCATGGATTGTCTTCGGTTGCGGCCAGAGCCGTGGCCGGGGTCTTTGCTCAACTGTATGTTTGGCAGCGTGAATATCGACGTCGCTGAAAAAAAGAAACATCGAATACAGCATTTCTATGGGTAATCTCAAAACATAGGACCATGGAAAATAAACGTCTCGCTGAATAGATTTACCGGTATATAACAACAGAGGCGACCATCTATTAGTGATTTCGGTCGTGATAACCTGCTTCGGATACCTTGAAAATTTTCATTGAAAAATTCAATTCGCTCCAGCAACGTGGATGTCAAATTAAATTTTCAAAACATTGATCACTTTTCGCAGGTAGGTTTACTGTTCTATGTGGGCGTGTCTCCCACCCACCCTTTTTTGTCCCTGTGCTCATAAATTTCATATGGAAAATATCTGTGAGGGACATCATTTGAAAGATCAAGTCATTAAAAATATACATCCATCTCTTACATATACAGTACTGTACTAGAAAAAAGGGTAGAACAAATTACGCAGAAAAATGGTGAATGCATTGAATTTCTTAGCGCAGTAAGAAATACTGTACATGAAAATTCGGTGACGTTACTGTGATTTCCGCAAAAGCATTTCTAGAGTGACTAGGCATCATCAGTCGAGGGAAAACCGAGTTCGAATCCGGAGTGACGATTCTTATATGTTTTTAAATAATGGGGATTCGACCGGATTAAAAAATGACGACTCACTGTCGGGTAACTTGTGAACATTGGGCCCCAATGATCGAAAGTACGGATGCTTCATGGCACTGGCGGCTGAGATCCTTTTCTTCGCTTCGTACTGAAAAAAAAAAAAGATCAATACTGTATAATCAACGATTAAGAACATGAACAGCAGATATCAAGGCAAGAAAAAAAAAAAACTACTGAATAGATCCATCTTCCCGACTAAAATGTAATACAGTACACACAACCGTTTTAATCCAGGCACTGAAAAAGTGAAACTAACGCAAAAAAATTAAAATACACAGCAGGTTCTTGTACCTCGTGAAATTTACGATGACATTTTTAATACAAAAATCGTATCGCTACACCGTAAAGCTTCATCCGAAACACACCAAAATTGAGAATTGAGTAATATACAAAAAATCGATCATAACTTTCAGTACTGCAAAGAAGAAGACGTTTCATTTTTTCTACATGGACATGCAATAGAAAAATTCAAAACACTTGATTTTTTAAATTGTCCAAGCATAGTTTTTGTAATGCCCTCGATTCCCACCGCAAAATTTACATTTCTGCGAATCTCAATTCAAGTTTTTAGCACGAAGACTTATGAAAATTCGTACCTAAATTGAAATAGATTTTCCTCATCATATTTACAGCTGTTCAAATTTATTCTAATAACCAAGGTAACATGAGCAAAAGTGCATTCAAGATAAAAACGTAAAAATCTAGGTACTCAAAACGAAATTGATTATAGATTTGATTCAAAACTAAATTTAGATTTTCAGCCTTTCTGGTTTACGAAACCTTATCACGAACCTTTACAAAAGTTTCCATTACCGTATATTCGTATGAGACACACGTTTATTTGGTATTTCTAGGAAACCCACGGGGCATAATACTGTACCCAATGTATAAAAGGGAAACAAAAAGCTCACGGGAAAACGACCAGGGAAAAATTGACACTAACGGACTGCAAAAATTTTCAAAACAAACAGTTTCTCGAAAAATAGAGAGAGACAGACACTGTCGAACGTACCACGAGGAATTTATGCAACAAGTCGAGGGCGTCGCCGTCCAACCTCGGCGCGCGGTCGATCAACGGCTCTGGCGTGTGACTGGTGAAGTCGTAGGCCACAAAGTCCGTATTGTTCGAAATCCCGGGCCATGTTTCTTCTCTGGGCGTTCCGAGCGTTTTAAATATCAACGACAACTCGTCCTCGATGGTCGATCCAGGAAACAGCGGACGCCCGGCGCCCATTTCGAAGAATATGCAACCAACACCCCTGAAATAATAAAAAAGAAGGGAAAAGTTGTAAACAATTACCAGACATTTCATTCTTTTCAAAGAGACGAAAGGAATTATGTTGCATTGCAGAGGTTTTCAACTTTTTTTTTACTCTTGAAAGCAAAACCAGTCCAATGTCCGCATTTTTTTCAAGCAGGTTTGATTGCAAACGTCTTTTCAAATATTTATTTTTTGGTTTCGTAACATGCTTTTCATCAAAACGTTTCACAGCGAGTTGAAATATGAAAAATTCAGAGCAGTGCGTGCATAAGAAACGCGTCTTCAAGAAATACAATTTAAAAGGAACAAATTCCTGGAAATTTTGGGTTCTTGTACGAATTTTTCAACTCTTCCTTCCTCACACACATGGATATTTTCAAGCACGTTTCTGCCGGGACTTGTAAAAAAAAAAAAATTAGCTCAGCTGAAAAATCTCGGAATTCGCAATAAGTGAAACTGTGCTTTTATACAATAATAAATTCGACGAAGGTTAACAGCATTTCAGACACCTACCACATGTCAATAGGCGTCGAGTACTCTGTAGACCCAAGCAAAACATCTGGGGGTCGGTACCACAGCGTGACCACTTCGTTGGAGTAGGTTTTTGTGGGTACGGACTTGGCCCGAGCGAGCCCAAAATCTGCCAGCTTCAAAAAAAAAAAAAAAAAAAGAGTCGACACAGAATAAAGATTTGCCATCCAGTTTTCGACAGTTCACTAAAACGCATACCTTGAGTTCTCCTCGCTCGTTCAGCAAGAGATTCTGCGGCTTCAAATCCCGATGAAGAACCCTTCGTCTATGACAGTACTCCAGGCCTCGCAGCAGTTGAAAAAGAAAGATCTAACGAACAAAAGCAACATTCATTAATGTCATTCTCAATGATCAGCAATGTCATTATTGATGACTGATGAATAAATCAGCGATAGAATACAGTAATGTACGGTATATGAATTGAACACGGATGAAGCAAACACAAGTGACACCTACAGCGAATTTTTAAAAGTTTGGTTTGGTGAAAGTTGCATAAATAAAAAGGCTACTGTACATCAGCTGTCGTGAGAAGATTTGCGATTCCAATTTGTAACTACTGTATAGGTATTGAGAGTATGTTAGGCAATGGGACAGGTTAATTCTAAGTGTTAGGGTAGGTTAGGTCAACTCTTGGGAGCAGTATTCAAATATCCAGAAAAGTTTTTTTTTTAGACTGGCAAATTTCCGAAGTATTTCTGCAGACAAACAAAATTTCATAACATTCTTGCAGACTCAAAATTTTTTTTTAAGACTTTATGGTAGGTATTTTAAATGTTTCCACTTCTTTTTAAAACAAAAATTCAACTAATGAAGCAGCTATATTGGAATGTTTCTAAAATGTATAAAGGCGAGCTTGAGAAAAGGTTTCTTGGGTCAAGCTAAAAAATGAAAATAATTCATTTCAGCAGGTGAAAATTTGTCTTAGGCATCATTAGGAGAAAAGCCAACCTTACACTCGAATGGGATACACCGGTTTAGATAATACTGTTGGGGAGTTTAGTTTCTAGGTAAGACTAAGTACAGGTAAGATTCCCTTTCACGGAAAATCCAGTCAGGGTAATTTTATTTCTCTCAAGCTTTTCAATTCTAAATCCCAAGTGCAAAAATGGCTTCTTCTGCAGTAGACGTCGCCATTACCTGCATCACCGCGACTACATTTTACTAAGTACAGTAATACCAACAACAACAAAAAACACGCTCAAAACGCGACACTCACCTTAACGTTATTCATGCTTAATATATTTCCGCAGTCGTCCATGTATTGCTTCAGGTCTTTCTCCAGGTACTCGAAAACTAACGTCAATATTTGATCCGTGTGGACAATGTCGTGCAGAGTGACTTGAGAAAAAAAAAAGGATCGCGTCAACATCTTATCGCTCATCAGAAACGTCACTCTTCACAGTACCTATGTTGGCGTGTTTCAAATCTTTCAGCAAAGACACCTCTCGGATCGCAGTACACGGCGCACCTTCCTCGTGCTCCAGTCTGATTTCTTTCAAGGCGACCAGGTCATCAGTCAGTCTCGATTTCCCTTTGAACACGGTTGCATACGTTCCCTGAAACACACAAGCGGATATTTGTTTTCTCAGTCATCGTCACAACACGCGATAAGTCCATAGAACAGGCAAAAATCACACTGCTTTTTACACTTCTTACTTTTTATGCACTCGGCACATCCATTCCCTGAAACACACAAGCGGATCTTTGTTTCCTCAAGTCATCGTCACACCACACGATAAGTCCATAGAACAGGCAAAAATCACACTGCTTTTTACACTTCTTACTTTTTATGCACTCGGCACATCCCGGACATTGACTGACTCAAAACAGCAGCGAGCGACACCTAGGCTAACATCACGTCGCCATTTTAATCTTTAAAGATAAGAGCTCGTATCTAGAACATCCTGGAAATAGCCTTTCTTTCTCGAATACAGTACACGAAACACGTCACCGAGTAAAAGATTGTTAACAGGTATAAATTAATAAAATAAAAATGACTCAATTTTGAGAGTGGTCTGATTTACAATGGAAGAACGATAAGAACGCGAATCTCTTGAACACTTACATTTGACATAAATTTCGCGTGGAGTCCATAAAATTTTCCACAGCACAACTCAAACCGGGTTTAATCACCGCGATCAATTTCTCACTGGGTTGTTTCACCAGAAAACTAAATGAGATGGATCTCACGCATTCGTTCATTTTAATTCAATTTAAAAAACCGAGTTGATCATCAGGGTATGACGTTTATAACGAGAAAATCCGTCTGTCGCTTAGATTTTTCATGACCAGTGACGATAACCTGGATTCATGCTCAAATTAACGAATCGATTGCGAAAA